AAAAAAAAAAAAAAAAGGGAAAGAAGAGTTTTCTGAACAATTCAACGAAAAGTTCTGTTTTGAGTGTATCAACTTAACAATCTTTGAAAATTCTTGGAAAAACCGCCGCTTCAAAATACATAAAACTATTTTTAAAAAATTTTTACACTTTAATTTATTTGCAGCAAATTAGAATATGAACAAAAAAGCGTTATATTTGTTTACTGATGTAAATAATTGAAAAAAAAAAGTTTATTTATAATTTTTTTCTGTATAATTAATAGTACAGTAAGTTAAAAGTTTCAAAATTACTATGATTATTATTACTGCTTTTTGTTTTTTTTTTTTTTGGTTGATAACAGAGGCGTATTTTTTATGTGATTTTCTAACATTAAATTCTTCAACTAAAGCGAAACTGAAAAACAACAGCGCGGTTGTTTTCTGCGAAAAGCACTATTCTTTTGCTTACACTAAGAGCTACGCCCCGCAATGAGGTATTACCGTTGAAAAATATGCATTTTGCGATCAGATCTGATTGTATATAGTGGAACACTCCAAGGAATTTTATCCATTTATTCTCTGATCACATCATCATCTTTCGTTGCTTCTTCAGTCTCAAGTCTCAAAACTCGTTCCACTGGTCTAAAGTACAGCAAGTGAGTAGAAAAACTAAACTTGATAGGTCTTCACAATTAGTTCATCAAAATCGACTTGATGATGGGTACACAGTTCTCGGAGAGAGTACGCAACATCGTTTTCCTATTGCTCTGTCTGTCCGTTGAATACGCCTCCACTCTGTGCAGCTCAATAAACCTCTTAAGCGTTTCTGTATTTTGTTTGTTATCCTCCGACTTTAATCGTTATTCTTGGAATAGGCTCTTTCTCTAATGCACAGTGCTTTAAATTACGAGCTTCTTGAAACAAATCTTTATTTTGTTATGCTGCTTTATTCTGGTCACACTTAAGCCTTCAGTACTTCCCCAAAATTTCCCACACCACCACCTCTGTTAGCAGCTTTTCTTCTTATATTCACTAGAACAGCTACTTTAGTTATATACTTTTAAACCATTATAAAGATTATACTTTCACTGGAATGTTAGTTTTGAAACAAATATCTCTTCTGTTTATGCTACAATTCAAAAGTTTTAATTTTTGTTTTTTATCTTTCGTACCAGTAGCAAATGCAATTTAATTTAAAACTCAAATACCTTATCAGAACAACCTTTACTTCCTGACTGTTTCTTGTCTTTACACAGGAGCTTAAGAGTGTTATTGTTGTTTTTAGAGCAGAGCTAGATAAAATTGAAAAACTAAAATATTAGTTTCGAATGTTAAGTGTTTTAGACGCTTTCTAACATTTTTTTGACCAGCATTGTACTTCAATTCTTATCTAAATTCTTCCTGACTAATGATCAATGAAACTTTTTGTATAAGTAACTTTAACATTGTTTTTCGATGCTTTTAAATTTTGACGCTTAATCTGACGAAACTTCATTTTATTTTTTTATCATTTTCACAAAAATTTTTTATTTACATTGTGAACTGCTGTGTTGTTGCCACTATGGCCGATGAAAAGCTGCGTTTAAGTGTCCGAAAGCTGATGTTTCTCTCTCCCGATTTTTCTTTTTCTTAACTGCTCGTCTAATAGCTGCAGAACTCAAAAGTATTCATCCACTTAAACGGCAAAGCAGTCTTTTTTGAGAAAAACAGCCATATTTATTGCTGTCTTTGTCTATTCGTTTCTCTATTTCCACAGGCACATCTTTTATAAATACTATACTATCTGTTGCTTGTATTTTAAGACTGTTTTCAAATTCGTTGCACAGTTAAAAAATATCATGTTTGCTGGATAAAAAACTAATCGTTTAGGTTACCTTCTGCTGAGGCACTAGCATCCCTGAAACATGTGTGACGAAGAAGTTGCGGCCCTTGTAGTTGACAATGGATCTGGTATGTGCAAAGCTGGTTTTGCTGGTGATGATGCACCAAGAGCCGTCTTCCCGTCCATTGTAGGACGACCCAGGCATCAGGTAAAATACATTAGTTTTGTTTATAGTATACATTATACTCTCATTTGAAACATGCCTTTTTCAAGTTGCGAAAGTTTTAGTCTGTAACTCTTAAACCTTATCAAATATTACCAGATTAAAATAATTGTTCTAGGGAGTCATGGTTGGTATGGGTCAAAAAGACTCCTACGTGGGTGATGAAGCCCAATCAAAACGTGGTATCTTGACTTTAAAATACCCAATTGAGCACGGCATTGTCACAAACTGGGACGATATGGAAAAAATCTGGCATCACACCTTCTATAATGAGTTGCGTGTTGCTCCTGAAGAACATCCAGTCTTGCTTACAGAAGCTCCCCTTAACCCCAAAGCAAACAGGGAAAAGATGACTCAGATTATGTTTGAAACCTTTAATACCCCAGCCATGTACGTCGCCATTCAAGCCGTTCTTTCCTTATACGCTTCAGGTCGTACTACCGGTGTAGTTCTTGACTCAGGAGATGGCGTTACTCATACTGTTCCTATTTATGAAGGTGAATTTGTAATAGCTTTCACTTATCTTTAGCACAAGAGTGTTGTTTTAGAAAACCCAAATTTATATTGAGAATCTTATTTTTATAAACAAATGATCTTGTTAGAATTATTATCTGAATTTTCAAAGTTACTGTTTAGGTTATGCTCTGCCCCACGCTATCCTCCGTTTGGATCTGGCCGGTAGAGATCTTACTGACTACTTGATGAAGATCCTAACAGAACGTGGTTACTCGTTCACAACCACGGCTGAACGTGAAATTGTTCGAGACATTAAAGAAAAGCTTTGCTATGTTGCTCTTGACTTTGAGCAGGAAATGGCAACTGCTGCCTCGTCATCGTCATTGGAAAAATCATACGAATTACCTGATGGTCAAGTAATCACTGTTGGTAATGAAAGGTTCCGATGCCCAGAAGCTTTGTTCCAGGTACAGTTAGAAAAGCTCGTTAGACGCAGTCCCTTTAATATTTCAAAGAAAAAAAAAATGTGTAGTGGTCTTCCACCGTCAGTGCTGTGCTGCAGACTCGTACTTCAGTTATTTTTTTTCAACTCTCAGGCACGTTCCATCATCTCAAAAATTTCTATTTTAAGCCTTCCTTCATTGGTATGGAATCTGCTGGTATCCATGAAACCTCATACAACAGCATCATGAAATGTGATATCGATATTCGAAAAGATCTGTACGCTAATACCGTTCTTTCTGGTGGATCTACCATGTACCCTGGTATTGCTGACCGTATGCAAGTAAGTTGCCTAGATAAAGTTGGCTAATAAAATGGATACAGTACAACAAAATTTAGCTTTAAACTAAGAATCAATATGCGGTATTGTTACTTGCAAATTATCACTTCAGAAGGAAATCACCGCTTTGGCTCCAAGCACAATGAAGATTAAGATTATTGCACCACCCGAACGCAAATATTCAGTGTGGATCGGTGGCTCTATTCTTGCTTCCCTGTCTACCTTCCAACAGGTAAAATAATAATAAACTGATAAAACAGCTTTTTTATAAAGTCAAGGTCTATTAAAGATTTATTTTATTTATTACACATATTGCATCATTATGTGTGATTGCAGATGTGGATTTCGAAGCAGGAATATGATGAATCTGGACCTTCAATCGTTCACCGTAAATGCTTCTAAAGTGGATATTGTATTGTTATTATAACAATAATTTTTTAAGGGAACATAAATTGCAAAGCTCTTTGCTTCACCGTCATGCCTTTCAGCAGTCAGCAATTA